TTGTACAATTATGAATTGCTGCGCTGAAATAAATATGTTGAAACTATATATTTACTGTAAACACTCAAAATTAATTTAAATATATGGTTCCCCTGGGTGGTTGTGCTCTAAAGTTAATTAATAATACTTATTATTAATTTACTTAGTACTACCTGTACAGTAGTACGAGTACGACTGTAATACTCCGGAGTATTCATAGTAATTAAGTTACTATTAAAATAGTAACTTAATTACTATGAATACTATTAAAATAGTATACAGTGTAGTATTATACTTATTAAGACTTACTACGTAGTACGGGACAGCATTTAATATTAATACCAACCTTGGACACTATGGTTAATATAATATAATTCTTGAATTAAAAGCGTGGATGACATTAGGATGACATGGGTGAATAATAATATGATCACTTTGCGGGCACCGTTCGGACAATTTCAGTCGGACATACTTGATATTTGTATTGGACTTAAGGGAACATATTTTGTCCGAATGAAATTGTCCGAACGGAATATGTTCGGACATACTTGTGTATTGTATACACCCGCAAAATTGCGCGCACCGCAGCGTAGAGGAGGTCGTGTGTATAATTTTGTGCAGGCGGTGCCTTGCCGAGGAGAGAGCCCCAATCGTACACTTCACCGAATGTCCAATCGATTCCTCTTGTCGGGAAAAGCGGCAGGTAGGCCGTAGGCCGTGCCGCACCCATGTGTGACGCCGTTTGTAGACTGGATCCGCATGTGCCTCCATCAAAAGTGTGTGGCCATCCACGACAAGCCACCCCCCGCATCGCAAAGGAGTTGGAGGAGACCAAGAAGAAGAAGCGGAAGGACCAAAAAGTGCTCGTCAACACGGGGGCGTACTATTAATACTGTAGTAACTGCACTACTACTAACTTACTAACAGTAAGCTCATATTTTTTTGGCGCGCAGAGCTCAACATGTAGCCTTGGCCACATAACGTACCAGTTTATGGTGCAGGGACAGTTTAAGGTTCACTCTAATTGGCCAATGGAAATGCTTGATTTTTGGAATAGCCAATCGAATCATTAGAACATTGAAATCACCAAAACCTAAGCAAAAACAGCATACAAATTTTAAGCTTAAACCGTGCTCCATAAACCGTCCCTCTTATTTTGCCTTGACTGGAGTGGAAATCGAAGTAAATAATGAACGCTAAGCTGATATCTATTCGCTGCCAAACCAATTAAATAATCAGAAGAATGCCCAGCCTTTCGGCTTCATAGAGCACTTTTCATAATTGAAATCCCAGTCCTAGAGACGAGTACACCCGCTCAATCAGGAACACAACCGTTCGTAAATAGGTAGTTGTTGTACTGTAGTGGTATAGTAAGCCTTACTATATTACAATACTACTAGGAGTACTCGTCATTCTACGACAAGGTCTCTATCAAGTACAGTACACCATAAATTGGCCATCTACGTTGTAGCAACGCTATTACGTACAGTTGTAGGCATGGCCGATGAGTTTTTTGCGTGGGGTGTAGCGTTAGAACACGGACCATCCTTGTCAATACTGTTGTGTTTATTCTAAACTGGAGCGACATGGAGAATTAATTAATCGACAGAACCACATGTACAGTAGAATCGGCAGACGGATTTAGCCAATCAGTTTGCAGAAACCATCATCAACGTCGAATTAGTGTGTGATTTCAATGAGTGTGATACCAATCACCATCAATCGATAGATTGGGCGAATCAGCACAAAAGTCCAAATTTTGGGTACAAATTTCGGGTAAAAGGACAATGCTATACTAGTATTGGGTACATGGTGTGACTTGTTAGTGATAGATTGTAACGTTCAGATCGGTTTCATGCTGTGATGAAGCTGCACTCAAAGCCGGCGATGGTGCGAAGTCCGACGACGCGACTGGCGACCACAAAGTCATCGTCATTCAAAGAGAAGAAGAACATCAGCGTCCATGTCGAGAGCCCAATTCAAGTAACCACTGTCACCGAAGAGCCACGCAACGAACAACTGATCGAAGAACCAGCACATTTGTCGTCGAAAACGGTACCTGAGCCCCCACAACCTCGTCGCCCCCTGCCAAAGCACCGTGTGAACACCCTCGCAAAAGTCAAAGGCGTCGACTACCTCCAAGGCGGTCGGCAGCCCATCCCCCCCATGACTCTGCATGGTCGCATCCTCACCAATGTCGACCCTCGGTCTCGCGAACGTGCCCAAAAGCGATGGGATGCGCTTCGAGACGTCGTGAGTCGCACGCCAGAACTGACCCGCATCACACAAAAGCTCCAGGAAAGCATCCGGTGTGAAATTGGATTTCTATGATAGTATTGTATTTACGAGATTGGAAAAAACAATTTCGACTTCGATAGGATATTGAAGATGGATCCATGTGACCGGCGCGACACTGACATTGCTCACTTGTACTCGTGGCTCATGTCACAAGAGAACTTGAGTCCGCTCTTTCAAACAAGTACGGAAGTGCCACGTATCGTCGTCTTTCATGACGGCATCCCCCCCCTTCCTTCGTTTTCTGAAGTCCTGCCTTGTTGTGTACTAGTGCCCGAGAAGATGGGCAAGAATATTTGCCGGGAGCTCGAGTTCCTCCACCTCCGAAGTAATCAATGCTGTGACTGATGTTATACAACAGTGTTGTCTTCACGGTCTGTAGGTAACGATGTTGTGGTGCATCAGGGCGACGTGGGCTCGACGTGCTTTGTACGAGACTTCAAGCGCCATATCCTTATCCTAATAGTTCCATCGTCTAGATCTTGATCAGCGGATTAGTGGCAGTGTTTGTGCGAAGTCCAGACGAACAAGAGCGCTTCACCCGTCTCGGCCTTCGCAAGTGCTACCCCCCGGACCCGTCGACGAGTCTGCAGCACTTGGCCGATCCCAGCGCCTCCAAGCCAACCCCCCCACCCTCCATAGACCCCATCGTGCAAAGGACCGGTTCCCAGGTCCCCGCTTTCTCTCGAAATATGTCACTTACACGTACATGCAGAACTTCCGCGCGGCGGCGATGAGCTTTGGGTCCAAGGTGGCCTCCCTCAAGCCCGGGGCCACGTTTGGAGAGATCTGCCTCATCGAGCCCGACTCAAGGCGGACCGCCACCGTCCTCGTCGACGGCGCGTGCAGCTCGGCCAACTTTATCGTGCTCACGTCGTCGTCGTATACAAAGATGACTGCGACCCAGAAAACAGAAGTAAGGGGTCGTGTTGTTGTTCATGTATATGTGTATATGCGACATGGTATATCTCTACGATATACTAGCCTAAGGTTTTGACATGCAAATGTGATATTGATGGACAGGGCACGATATCGGATCACATTGCGTTTCTCCACCAACTATTTATCTTTCGAACGTGGTCGAAAATGCGTACGTCAAGAGTGGTGGTCGAACGGGATAACGTCATCGATGTGAGTGAATGTAGAACTCATGCGGCTGGCGTCGTCCATGAGATACATGGTGTTTTCCCCACAGGTTTGACTTCATAGTGTCGTGACCGTAGAGTTTATAACGTATATATTATATATATATATAGATAAATTTGTATGTGCAGAGGCACTATGGAGATATTCTCAAGTGTACTGTGATAGCAATTCCTGCAGCGCAAGAACGCTGACATTGAGTACTTTTACATGATCTTGAGCGGCGAAGTGCGGGAAGTGAGCAGCATTGTGTTTCAGCAAGTCAATCATGTTGGCGGGTAAGACACTATGGATGAGTGAGTTGCCAACAAAGCTGAAGCTCCACCACCCATATTCTAGGGGAACAAAGAAGCTCACAGAACACAAAGTCACGGCCGAGCTGACTTATATTGGCAAATATGATGTCGTTTGTACGAACCAAGTCACTTTTGATATCACGTCGAGTCACCAATGTTAGGCGAAGGATTGGTCTACCCGCGTAAACTACACCTGAGCCCAGTAGACATTCGCGCCGGTGGCTTTTTTTCCCTTGCATTTAACCTGGTGACATCTTTTCTTCGTAGAAACCACAGTGTGTGCGCTGGCGTTGAGTGTACGTTCGACTACGTATCGCTGTTGTCATGTCGAGTTTGATCTGATATACCAGCATTGCTTTGCTCGCGTAGAAAAAACTGTTTCAGCTGTCGATCTTGAGCGCGGCGCAGCTGCATCAAAAGCATGTGGCGCACACGCTGCGGGTGCTCGAGCAAGTTAGCGACGCCCGTCAAAAGTGGCGGGAGGCGCGCATCAACCAGGCCACGGCGTACCCCGACCTACTCATTAAAATGTACACTTGTTTACATGCTCGTTGTATGAGATGATGCCATCGATTCTGATGCTTTTCCTCCTCGTCGGGTTAGCACATCCAAAATGATGCGGCTGAGCGGCAACTTGTGCATGCAGTGCGGCCGGTGCACCCACATCGCAGGCGACTCGGTGTGTCTCTTTGATGCGTTTCTGAAAGCGCACGAGCCAAAGCCTGTCGAGCGGCAGTACTTTCATCACCTGTGCAAGGACAAGACGGACGAGCCGGAAGACAGCGGCAGGTCTCCGTCCCCGCACAACCACCACGACCACGTGATGATGGTCGCCGCCGCCCCCGCCCTCGCCGCAGACGACACCCGGCTGTCTGCGCACCGCCAACTGCTTGCCGAACAATGGACAGAGGCAGCCAAACATGGCATTTCCCCTAGACGACCCGCCACCACCGTAAGTACAAGGAGATAGTACGTCGGTAGCTCCTGGCCAATCGTTTCATAGGACTCGACGACTACCATGACCACACGTCGACCGAAACCAAACGCTAGAGACAGAGGCAGCATTGCCGCCGACATCGAAGCCGTGCGGACATCATGGCCGTATGCGTCGCACTGAACATTACGTCAACCAATACACAACGACGTTGGGTTCATGATGCGCTAGATATGGTTTTTTTGTGTTCGGGGGTAGAAACTCTTGGATGTCGTCGGATTGTATTCAATGTCCAAGCTAAGCCGGGGCGTCGCTCTAGCTAGAACAATTCTGCGACACAGAATACCCCCATTTATCTAGTACTACACTACAGTATTATACCTGTGCAGCATTGGCATCATTGACGCATGCAGTGCGGACGCCTTTGAACCGACAATAAGATCGTTGGGCTAGGACAGACGTGTATCGTTTGTTGGCTTCCTTGCCTTCAATCTCTGACGTGGCATTCGCGCTATTTCCTGCGAAACGTCTCTCCGCCTACCATGTTATTGCTGCGTTCAGAGTGTTCTCATTGCGAAAACGAGCTGGCTTGTCACGGCAGTTGCAATGGTAACAACATGACCAAGATGTAAACAGATGTACTATCAAGCGATTTTATTTCTGGCTACTGTATTCTTCTTCTCTCAAAATCTACATGACCAAGCACGTGCAGCCAGGGACTTGCGTGTTGTTCTTATCCCAGTCGGCGTACTTTTTGCCCGACGGCTGGATCGACACCTTGCCTCGGATTGACCCTGCCTTGATACCAGCGCGGACGACAGGCACGTCAAACGGTACGCTTTCGCCAGGCTCGTAGCAGTCGGGAAGGTACACGACCGCTTGGCCTACGAAAGAATGCAATCATTACAGCCAACGCTAGTAGTGAATGCCACGAGGATTGATGCAAGCAGTAACGTTACCGAGGGGATCGTCGGCTGACGTGGCGTCCCAGTCCATGATCACGAGCACGAGGTGTAGTCGAACGAGCTGGTTCAGCTGGCACTTGAGCTGAAGGGCCGGAACTTGACCATCGTCCCACCTACAAATTAGTAGCATTGCTTAACTAAACCAACGCGACTAGTACACTATTAATATATTTACATATATACTGTATGCCGTACGTTGGATTTAGCGTGTTTTTGAGAACTGCCGTTTGTGGGTGTTTGTTTTCATCTGGCAAGAGCAGGTCTGGCACGGCACAGTAAAATTTGATCTAGATGGATTTTATATATTTGTATGAGAAATAATATCACATGTACATCGTATCCTCTGGAACTATATATATATATATATATAGGTCGTACGTAGGGATCGCTCTGGCCGTTCATGTCCATGGCGTCCAGATTCGTTGCCGACACGTCCGACAACTTGATTTCAATCACCTACAAGCAACAACATCATATTGATTTCACACCTTGTCGCCATGTCGACATGAATGGTGTATTCCCATAATTATTTATTACTAGTGTTCACTATATAGTTCTTATTTATAGACGTTGTATTCAATATATATCGTGCTTACGTCGTGGGTGGAGGTGTCAGGCGACGGCGTCGGCAGCGGGCGCACGTCGAAGGCCGCGTACACGGGCTTGTGGTCGCTCGTGCTGATGTCTGGCACACATGTGTATGCAGTCAGCGTCAAATTCGACTCGAAACCAGGCAGCGACTTCCACAGCACGCGGTCGCAGTAGGACGGCACCCGTTGTTGCTATACATCGCACGTTTCATTTGTCAACATATATACTAGTATTTCGATGGCAGAAGAATATGTGTTATCAAGTTGTGTTACCGTAAACTCGTGTTCTTTTCCCCGAAGCCGCTTGAACGTCGGCGCGAACTCACACGGCACCGTGTGCCACCCCGCGAGTACCTTGTTGGCATGCATCTGGTGCTGCAACTGGTCGTTCGCATAGAGTTTACCGTACTCCTAAACGTGATTGTAAGTAAAGCCATCAACTAGAACATCTTTCGTATAGTATGATGTAGCAGGGACGATTCGTTCAAAGTAGGCGGCTGGCGCGTCTTACTTTGCGAGTGACAAGATCGTGCACGGCGGCCCAATGCTCCTCCTTGGTCATGTCCTTCGGGTCGGTATACCCAAGGTGCACGCGGTAGTTCATATCCCCCATCCAGAACGCATGGTCGAACTGGTGGTCCAGCTCGATCCCTCGCTGGCCCACGCGGGCGCCGCTCAGAATTTCCGACACCTAAAACATCAGATAGTTACTACTACCTACGAAATGTGTTGCTGCTCTAGGATAGAGCAACTACGTCGCGAACGTACGTCGCTGTTGCGCCGCTCGAGAAACTTTTGCGCTTCGTGAGCTGCCAAGTGACAGTTGACAAAGCAAAACGACCGCTGGTCCACCACCAACTTGACCACGACGCCACCCTGTGAACAATGTATGTCAGTGCCACTTTGTCATCCAGAATGTTGGTTTTACCTTGTTGCCAATCACATTGCCGACGCCCGTGGCTTCGGTGATCTTCTCCACGTCCGACACCTACATAGTTGTGTGGTATCGTTCGTTTAAATTCGGTCCTGGTATGGATTTCGTAGGTCGCACCGCGTTGCGGGTATGCACAAAAACTGCCAAGCGAATCTCCATGAGCTCCACAGCCCCCGCCACCATGTAGTCAGCCCCCAAGTGCTCCTTTCAACAAGCGCTCATAGTGAGTAGGGGTATGTATATACATACAATGCAGCCTCCCGTACGAGTAGCTGGACAAAGAACGGGTACGATTGAGCCGATGTCGTGGTGCTGGCTCGCCGCGTGAGGTCACTGAACGACTGCCGTAAACTCTTGGACGCCCGCTTGAGCGACGACGGCGGGGGCGGCGCCCCTTTGGCGTCGTCCAAAACGACATCGTGGAGCTCGATGTCGTGGGCCGCTTCTTCGTCGTCGTCCTCGTCGTCGTGCTCGGGTACAGCTTCGACGCAGTCTCGATGTGTAGGGGACGACGATGCCTTCTTCTTGTACGTACTTTCTTGCAGCCCAATGGCCACAATGTCGTAGTCGCCTCCACCTGACAACATCCCCATTTAGTAGTTAGTTAAGTGTCATACTAGAACATTCGAGCGACCTTCGGGCACCCATGACTTGATGCCTGCCGGTGTCGCAGGAGGCATCTTGTTGCCGACGTTCCACGTTCTACGACATTTGCAAGTTTACCGACGTGGAGCTAGGGTCATTCAGTACCCCGTGAAGATTTTCAACGTGCGGGGCTCGATCGCAGACACTGGTGGTTTCTATTCAAGAACGACGGGTGTGTTGAAAGGATGTATCATGTGGCCAGACTAAACAGGTCATTACGGCTGCGGTGGCTGCCTTTTCCGCCAGTTTTTGGAGGAATGCATTGGGGGACTTGGAAGGCGACGGTGGCGGGGCGGTCGGCTTCGCAGGCGACGACGGGGCACCACCCGCAGGGGGGACGGGCGAGTTGGATGGGCCAGAAGGGCTGCTTTGCATTCCTGGAGAACGAAGTGCACTGTGCCAGGTAGGTAGGTATCTCTATATCTATCTCTACACTCATGTCGGAGTGCTAATTATAGACTGTTGGAACCGTTCCCCCCAACAAGGCTCAGCGTAACGGCAGCTCGATACAGAGTGCATTGGAGTAGAAACTCGTTTTATTAGGTTTAATCTATATCATCATTCAAATGCGATCTAAGATTCTTCTCCTCTATAGCAATGGAAGCAAGGCTACTAAAATGCACTTGGCGCACAACACAACAGCGTTGAAACGCTGGGTTTTGCCGGGATGCCTGTGACACTGTGCACAGGGCCCAAGGGTCGCCTGCAACACTACGTCGGTCGTCTTGTCGTCGACGTCGATCGATACCATTGGCCCGATGCTACGTCGAAGCAAGTCCAGAGTTAGAGGTGTACCTCGAGCATTCACATGACGGAGGTGCTTGAGGGCGGCAAATGTGGACGGGACGGACGTGAGCAACGTCGCGGTCACGTCCAGCTCTTGCAATGCGTGCAGCTGGCCAAACAACAGCGGCAACTCTGTCACATGATTATGCGACACGTCTAGCACGCGCAACTGCGACAGCGTCACGATCGAGTCGGGGAGACACAGCAGCGAATTGCATGATACGTTGAGGACTTGCAAGTGTACGAGCGACTTGAAGAGGTCGACTGGAAGCGTGAGAAGGCAGTTTCGAGACAGATCCAGCTCGCGAAGGTGGGTCATAACCAGCAAACACTGCGGGAGGTGAACGAGGCGACTTCCTGGCGTAGCGTACGATGTGGGGGGGATGCTGTCAGTTGGGGGGGCGGGCGGAAGAAGTCCACGTTGACGTAATAGCTGCACGACGGGGGTTAGGTGGGCCACGACGAGCTTGGACGTCCCCATCGCCGTGTCCACCGCCATCGCCAAGGTGAAAGGCAGAATCGCCAGAGGGTTAGCTATCGTAGCCGCCTTGATATACGACTTCAACCGGGGAATCCCGGCTTTGGTCATAGCTTGGAGCTCAGTGTGCACTGCCACTTGGAGAAGACACGTGTCGCCTGATATTACCGCCATGCACTGCTTTAATGCACTCGTGAACGTAAACCGATCGCGATCGCTTGAAAACGCACACTCTATACACATGTTGTGGCAATGCGAGTCTACCTAGTACTACTACTAGTACTACTAGTGTACGTACTTGCATATGCGACAAAAAACGGGGGGTACACGGCAAACTCGGTGGTGAATCGGGCAAACACGCGGGCGTGGAGGGGCTCGGGGAAGGACGACACGTACCGACGAAACATCCGGAAAGCAAAGCGACGGGACGGGGGCTGCAGGCACCACTCGACGGCGGGCGCCACGGACGGCCACCGATGACGTGGCACGTCGTCCTGGCGTTGAAGGAACCGACGGAGTACTTTGTCGCCATCTCGACCGAGTTGGATCGCCCAGTGCAGGCGAAGGGCCCACAGGTGGTGCTGGTCCCCCGTCGTCAATCGGCTAGACACACTGGGCCGTTCCAACACCCAATCAAGGTGCTGGCTGGCGACCGCAGGACCTTCCAGCCGCCCCATCGCATGGAGAAGGCGCACCCCGTACGCTACCCCCACAGTCGATTCGTTCGAGTTGAGCGCTTCCGTCCACTGCAGCAACTTCGTCACAACGGTCTGCGCATCGAGGACCAAGTGGGCATGCGTCATGTCGAGCATACTCGCGTACATTTGAGCGTCGTCGTCTGCTTGCAATGCCCGCAGGTGCTGAATCCATCGCTGCGCCGCCGTCTCACAGCAAGGCAAGTCGATAGACAACAGCGTCGTGGCGATTGAAAAGCATAGCCGAGGGGGAGAGGCGCCATGCATGTGATCTTCCAACGTCGACAGCAGGGGCGCCACGTTGTCGGTTGCAGTTTTGGTTGCAGTTGCTTGGACGACCACTTGATTCAGCCGGACGATGGCCACGGCCACATGATTCTGGCCCAACGACCTCGTCATGCGGTGGATCACAGACTCGAACGCAACCACATTCGGCAGCGGATGCTGGTTCACCACGTCTCGAACGAGTGTGACAGAGTAAACAAAGTCGTACACGTCCACTTCTTCATGCACGTCTTCTGCCACCGTTCCCAACACCATCAGGTCCATATACACGAGCCAGAGAGTGGCCAGTTGGTCTTGGTCAAACCCCGCCGTGAAACCAGACGTTTTGTCGTCCAGAATCGACTCCAACAGCTGGCGGCTTTGAGCTCCTTGCCCCGCGTCCACATATAGGCGGCACCACCGCACCACCAACTCGAATACATCATGGGCCATTGTCGCGGTTGGGGGGTGGTGGTTGTGCTGGGTGATTTTTTCAATGGCGAGCCGGAACAGACCTGCGGCGGCACTGACCGACCCGAACGAATGGTGGTCTAGCCGACACAGCCACAACTTGGCCGAGGACGGAAGGAATTGCATCGCTTGGTCGGCAAGGTCGCTCCATCCGTCCTTGGCATACAAAGCCAAGTACAATCGCCACAGCACTTCGCTGTATAAATTCGCTTCGATCTCCAGTGCCCGCGCCAGAATGTGCACCGCCTTGTCCACGTTGAGCGTCTCACGAGCATGTCGTTTTGACCGCATCACCTGCGCATGTTCCAATATATGTATGTACACATAGAGTTGGTGTAAGCATCAATCAATTCAAGAGTATCATGAACTTGCTATTGTCAAGTCGATTCGACAATTGGAGTGTTTGGGTGCTCAATCGAATGAGCAGAAGCAACAAATCGGCAGACAATCGATATACGACCAATCAAAACCCAGAACACAAATCCACTAGCCAATCAACCAATTCAACATCGAATTAGTATGTGACTTCAATTAGTGTGACGAATTTTACATACAAAAGTCAGGACACAGAATCGTCGATGGATTTGGCAAAGAATCAGCACAAAAGTCTAAATTTGAGATAAAAGGACAATACAAATTTCCCAATTCTGCGCGAGTTGTAAAAAACCGATCACAAATCCCGAAATTTCATTGGCGGTCGCAATGCTGTACTAAGCAGTTGACGTAAAAAGACAAAAACATGTAGACTATCAACGACAAGCAATTTTAGACTGACCAATACGAGCAATTCGTGATCGGTTTGGTCAGCGTGCTTCGATTGAAAGTAATATAAAATCATATAGTTGTGGTAGATTTACCTGGATAATCTGAAAGACTTGAGACTGGCACGACCACGAGCCCACATCGTCTCTAGTAGACACATATTTTTTTTAATTATTCAAGGTAATGGCATTATTATCAAAATCATAAGACGATCGCGGCTTCCTTACATGTTGGGCAAGTCCACGTCTACATGGAGCAAGGCGAGCGCCATCCACGCGTTCACATCGTCAGGATGCTGTGCCACTTGAAGCTCCAGTTCCTGTAGATTATATATATATATAAATCAAAACATAGTCAATATCCAGTGGCGAAATATATAATATATATCGTACTTGAACATGCGTTTGCGTACAGTCTTTCGAGTAGTATCGGTCAAAAGTGCTGAGTTTGTCGGTGGTGGCGTCAAGGGTCGAAGCCGGCTGCAGCACCAAAAAGTCTTCGCCTTCGACTAGTTCAGATGGTGGAGCCGCCACATCGTTCATTGGTTTGCCCGTGGATAATCTCGCAGGACTCTTTAGCGGACCCCGTCGAATTCCTTCGTCCTAAGAACACAGTATTCGCCGCATTATATTGCTTATTCTACACTCGAGCGATGTGCCTAATGTATCGACGCAACACAAAATGTGTGCAGAAGCACTTAGCCAATCAGAATGCAGGAAGTCATCAGCTCAAGCAATCAACAAATAATTAGTGTGTGACTTAACTTAGTGTGATGCGCATCGCTGCTGGACATTTTTCAACATGCCACATGTCCGTACCAAAAATCGATAGATTTGGCAAAAAACAAAATCAGCACAAAAGTCCAAATTTTGGCTAAAAGGACAATATTTTTCTTTGTTCTAAACTGGAGCAACAAGGGAAATGACCAAACGTACAAAGAATGTGCAAGTGAATTGAGCCAATCAGATTTTAGGAAATCAGCACCAACACCTAATTAGTGTACGACATGAACTTCGTGAGATCGCCATCACCACAGGACACATTTTTTATATACAAAATCCAGTCCAAACAATCGATATCGATGGATGTGGTGAATCCGCACACAAGTCTAATATTCTTCAATAAAACGACAATATATATATATATATACCTCGACTAAAAACTGCAGCCCAAACCCTACGTCGGTGGTCGCTCGAAGTTTGGCTAGCGGGTTCACGATCGAGCAGAACGACGCTTGGATGTTTGTCGGCAACATCTGGTCCTCGTTCAACGACGGTTGTGCGTCGGCAGTAATAGAACGCAAGGTTCGCGGTGGTTTCGATGTCTTCTCTTTGATAAACAGCAAATCAGTGGACGAGGCACCGGCTGCGTTTTGAAAGGTCGTCACAGCAAGGTTGGCCAACCGCTCGGCGTCGTCGGCATCCGTCGCCGAGGTCGGATCTTGGTGTGGGAACCACCGGTGCATGAGCTCTCCGTACGCCGCGTCGGGTGAGATCAAGTACTGGCGCTCGTGCTGGTACTCGCACTTGTCATCGTGGCACACGCCATTCAGTTCAAACGGGCACAGAACCCTGTGCAACAGGACACACACACACAGGTCATAATATACAAGCCACCGGGTCTATATATATATTGTCAAGTCGATTCGAAATTAGAGTATGGGGTTGGGATGCTCCATCGAATGAGCAGAAGAACCAACCAAATCAGTAGACGACAATCGATCGACCAATCAAATCCAGAACACGAATCAAGTAGCCAATCCAAATCCACTCACTTCGACCATGTCAACATCGAATTGTAGTGTGTGTGATACTTCAATTAGTGTGACACTGGACCATTTTGACAGACAACAATCCATCCAAGCAATCGATCGACAGATTATTTGGCGAATCAGGTCACAAAAGTTTTCGTAAAAAGGACTATCATACTACTACTACGTACTTCATCGGGTCCACATGGTTCGAGTACGTGGCACTCAGCAGCGACGGCTGGACGGAATGGGTGGCGGTATATGCTGGATGGAAGCGGTAGGCGCGGATTTGGTCAAGGGGAGATGCGTCGTCGATGGAATACGGCTGCACGCGTCGCGAACATGTCGTAGTTGTTATGGTGGTGGCGGCAGGGGTAGCCGCCGGCGTGCCAGACACTCCACTCGATAACGATGCCATGTACAAGTCTGCGACCGACAGACTTATGTCGGACGTCCGCGCAGGTCGAATGATGCCACCACGCAGCAATGCCACCACCTCCACGTCGGCCAAGAAGGCTTGGGCGTGTACGACGTCCATCGCAGAGGACGTCGATTCAAGGCGCGAGGCGACGGCCACGGCGGCGCTGAAACGTTCGCGGATATACGAGAGATGCGTGGCCAAGTGCTCTATCCCACACACCAGTTAGAACATCATGTACAAATATATATATATATATATATATGCATGCTATGGACACTAATGGTTTTGAACACGAGAGACAGCAACCATCAACACCCTACCTGCTGTGGACACCTCTGGCGGGAGAAGCCAGCTCAACGACAGCGGTGATGACGACAGCGGCGACGTAATGTCGGTGGATCGGACAGTTAAGAGCCCCGATACACAAGCATCGAACAACGGAAACGCTGACAAGACCCTTGCCAAGTCTGTTATTGGAGGAGCTTGGTCCTGATCGTAGCTCGCCACTTGGGCGACCGCGGCGGACACGTCGATGCCAGCATACTGTTGGAACTGGGTTTCCAATGCATGGAGTGCGATGGGCTATGGCAGCCACGAGTGACGAAAGGACAATAGCTATGGAAGGATGATAGTAGGCGTGTATTACATGATTGGTCTGGACGAGCCATCGCGTGCACACTCGAAACAGATGCGACACTAGGTCTGCCATGGTTGCCAAGACCAACGTCGAGTCCTTTGGCACTAGTTTCAAATGTCAAGCGCCGCCATTTTTCGCTGGATTTTGGAATTCCGTCGACGTACATGTATACATGTGGGGTTCCAACAGAGGACGTGTGGTCGCCGTCGCCGTCGGCGGAGGGGCGTCGTGGCGTCGCGGCCGCTTCAAAGTCCGTTCCCGCTGCAATGCCAATGTGTTTGGTCGTGGGGGAAACTGCTTCCGATGCGATAGTGGTTTGCTTGGCGGCAACGGGCGGTTCGGCGGCAGCTGCTGGTCCTTGAGCTCGGCCAATTCCAACCTCGCCCTTGCCCTTTGTTGTTTCTAAGCGCGGTGGATTAGTCTAGTCGACTTGGCCAACTTGTATGATGATCATGCAAGAGACCACATGATTATTGATTAAGGATACCTTTAACGTCTCGTCGGCCGTCTTTTGAAGCTCCAAAAGCTTTTCGCGCCGTGCAGCTTTGGCGCGTTCTTCTCGCAGCTTCTGAAGCAGCTTCTGTCGCTCGTTGGACATTGGGTTTGTCGTGACGGCGGAAGATGGAGACGCTAGCGGCGTTGGTGGAGTCGAATTGTTGTTCATTGGGGATGCCAGAGGGCCGGCTGGCGTGGGTTCGTGGCTTGTAGGGGCAGCCAGTGGAGGCGGCAGGGTCGACCTATTCGTTGGAGACGCCTGTGGAGTTGGTGTGGGTAGGTTGGTTGTAGGGGTAGCTAGAGACGTTGGCGGGGTCGAATCATTTGTTGGAGATGTCAGCGGCATTGGTAGGGGTATGTCCACCACTGAAGGTACGTCGCTACTTGCCACACCTGTGTCCGAGTGTGACTCTTTCGGGTGGACGGGCACCGCCGACGATACTTCAATCGGACGAGGTCGTTTGACGACACTTTCCTCACTCGCAATGTCCATATCCATTTCTTGGGATGGATCTACAACGGCGACGGACTCGGTTGTCGTTGAAGGACGGGGACGCTTGCGGTTGTTGGCGGCCTCGTTCGTACCATGTTTCCGTGCAACAGCCAGTCGGTGGTTCCAGAGTCCGAGCTCGGCTTCACAGATGCAGAGCTCTTGTCGCAACTCATCTAGCTCCTCCTCTATGCTTGCTGATGGAAATGATTGCGTTCCACCTCCACCTATTGCCGTCATATCGCGGCAACGTGTATCCCAACGAGGTATATTCGTTGCACAACTCAAAAATGCAGTATGACAGGACCTCTTTTATTTTATACTGCAGGCTGAGAATACTATTTTTCACAGACCACAGGTATCAAGTGTCTACTCAACGGTACACACTTTTTTCAAGCTTGAGCGGGTCGATGTACGGGGTGCTTGATTGAATGGAGCGCCTACACACACGTGCATGAAACATGCTCATACACCGCACGGAAATTTCATATTCCATCATACTGCTGTGGGGCGACGCCCAGGACGTCGGCCTACGTGAATACGCCAACGTTAGCTCGTCATGACCTGAAGTATCTCACAACTACGACCTTTTTCTTCCGCTCCACATGCTTGGACTCGGCTGCCACTTGGCGCCGTTGTTTCTACGCAAAGTTTCTTACAACGAATGATGAAGATTGGGCTCACTTGATGCCACCGCCACTCATCTTCAGTCATGATGATTTGAAACTCAAACTGGCCTTCCAGTTGCAGTGTGTTTTCCACCGGGCTTCGGGTGGAATAATGTCCCGGTTCCTTGAGCGCAATGTAATTCAAGTCTGCGACAATTCCATATAAGCTCACGAAGATTGAAACACTTTGCAGCGACAACGACATGAAATCGTGCCTTGGCTTGCCATGGCTTGTCGCCACGTCGGCTTTCGAGCTTCCCATCTGTACAAGGGCTTAACCTCCTATCAGTTGTGTGTTCATGCGATTGCAAGTGTGAGAAGCGTTGGCATTGAGGTCAAGCGTGCTACCTGCGTCGGCTCTGGCGCTGATTTCGCGCTTTTCGGTCTAAGGGCGCCAAACAATGATGGTGACGATCTCGTGACATAAGACATTTGTTTCGCACTCGTGCAAACGGCTGTTGTACTCTGCGACAACGGGAGTCGATTTCAAGTCAATGCAGACATCACGTAAACGAAAGAGCTGGCGGTCCACGACGATGACGCGGGGATCTATGCAGTCGAACAAAGAACCGTCATGCTTCACAGGCAAGAGTTTCATTAGGCTTCTACCTTCTGCAAACTCCCGTCTCATGGCATCGACGTCATCAATGCGAGATTGAAGCGATAACAGAAATGCATGCATCTAACATATCGATGGAGCCTGCGAACGTCGATGTAATAACCGACCTGTTCATCTGAGTACAACACTTTGTACTCGGGGGCGAGTTTTACGAGGGTATCCACTGCAGTCAGACGATGACATACGTGGCAAACTGTGAGGTGGTTTACCATAATGAAGGAGGGTTTACCTTCTTTTACCAGTGTAGGTAAACGCCGAATGTCTAACTTGGACCATTCGACGGCGGTCGTGGCGGTCGGTGGCATTTTCGAAAGGTCGCGCCCAAGATCGGCAAAATATGATCCACATTCTAGGAGACCGTCATTCCATATCGCCAAGCTGTCCAATCATTTCAAGAGGTAGAAACGACGAATGGATTTATCGTATTTCCCAACTTTTGACCAATCATATCGCATTGTGTTTTCCATTTCATTTTGTCCAATCCAGTGGTGGCTTGGTAAGTGGAGGGAAATCCACACAAGTTCAACGTTTCGACAGGAGTGGCGGCGACAGACATGGCGAAGAAGGTGTCCAAGACGGCAATCTTTGATGGTACTGGCAAGGGTGACGAGGACATGCAGATTCGCATCAACGAGTCCTTTGCGAAGAAGTACGACGAGCAGAAACGGTACGAAGAGCTGCAGAACCTCAAGCACGCGGACTTGAGTGACGACTACGACGAGTCGGATTCGGAAACAGACGACGAAGACGGCGACCAGTTGACCGAGGAGGTGGACAAGGACATCGCGCGGACGCTCAAGCTGATCCGCAAGAAGGATCCGTCCATTTACGACACGTCCATCACGTTCTTTCAACCGGGCGAAAGTGATGACGACGACAGCGACGGCAACAGTAGTGACGACGACGCCAAACTGACTAAATCAAAGCAGAAAAAGGCCGACAAACCGTTATATTACAAGGACTTGGTGCGGCAACAAGTGCTCGCGGGCGACGTCGACGGGTCAGACGTGTCGGACGACGACCAGGCTCCGTCGACGGCGACCACAACGTACGCCGAAGACCAAGCGCGCCTCAAAGGCGAGTTCCTTCAATCGTTGGCGGCTTCTGGGGCCGACGGCGACGATGAACTGGACGGCGGGCTCTTCATGAAGCGCACCAAGACATCAGCGGAGACCGAAGCCGACTTGAAAGAGTACGAAGCGTTCAAGGAACTGCACGGCGACGAGATCACCAACCCCGACGAGTTCTTGAACAAGTATTTGAAGAGTGGGGTGTGGAAAGAAGGCCACAAGACACGCAACCAGCACAACCACCGGATTCAAGCCGAGGATGCCGTTGACGACTCGGAGGACGAAGAAGCACTGGACAAGGCGGACGCGTTCGAGCATGCGTACAACTTTCGGTTCGAAGAAGACGGCGGCGGCCAGATCCAGACGTTTTCTCGGCACATTGACGACTCGTTGCGTCGAAAAGACGATAAGCGCAAGGTGGCGCGCGAAGAGCGGAAGGCGCGCAAGGCACTGGAGCGGCTGAAGAAGGAGGAGGAGCTGCGCCGATTGAAGAACCTCAAGCAGGCCGACATCGAGGCCAAGCTGGACAAGGTCCGCGCTTTGATGGGCGACGACACGGGCAAGTTGACGGCGGAGGACATCGACGGCGCGTTCGACCCTGCCGAGCACGACCGCCGCATGGCCGAAGTGTTTGATGACGACTATTATGGCGGCGACGACGGAGACAAGCCCACATGGAACGACGACGATGATGTGTTTGGCAAGTTGCCAGAGGAATATGAAGTAGAAGAAGGCGAGGCGAATTCGGAACATGATGACGACATCGAGGACGAAGCCAACTTGGACGAGATGGAAGAAGGCGACGGCGATGAGCACGGCGAGGAGGACGGGGACGAGGAGGAGAACTCGTTCAAGCAATCCGAGTTGGATGCCAAGAAGAAGAAGTACTTGGACGAGCTGTACGCCCTCGACTATGAAGACTTGATTGGAGACCTGCCCTGCCGCTTCAAGTACCGCGAAGTGGCCAAGAACAACTACGGCCTCACGACGCAGGATATTTTGCATGCAAATGACCAAGAACTCAAGGCAGTCGTGTCGTTGAAGCGGCTGGCGCCGTTTGCAGACCGAGAGCACTCGGTGAATCGACGAAAGGTGCAGCAGCTGCGCAAGGTGCTCAAGGAACGCAGCACGAACAAGAAGACTTGTGGTGGCGCGACGGCGGAAGAAGGCGTGGACACCCCCGCGGCGGTGACAGAGGTCGAGCAAGGTGCATCATCGAACAAGAAGAAGCGAAAGCGAAAAGGGAAGAAGACGACGGACGATGGGGACGATACCAAGGAAGGTACACCCGAAGTGGCCGTGAAGGATGACGCGGAAGATGCCGCCAACGACGAGAAAGACACGACGGCGGACGACGCCACCGCGCCGGCCAAGAAGAAGCGAAAACACAAGAAGAAGGCCAAGAAGACAAGCGCCGCAGCAGCCACACCGGCAGCAACTCTATCCGCCTCTCGATTAGAATCGTATCGGTTGAAACCTCTCAAGAAGTAAGGCCAATTGATATGTCATGTCCATCCTCTCAAGAAGCGATGGTGTCGTGTCTGCGTACCGGCACACCAGTTCCATTTTGCCACAACGTACTTCGAACTTCGTGGGAAATGCCACGTGTTATATTTCCAAATTATTTTAATATACTACTTCGACGTACTTAGTATCTTTTTTGTTGATTCATTAAAATGAAACTAATACACGCGATAAGTCCGATTAGTAGCCATTATATCAAGCATCAATTTTATGCTAGAATGAACAAAATGCTTAAAATATTTCAGAGAATTACGACACATATCGAAGTTCGAAGCGGTAGGGCAATCAAGCATAAAGAAACCAAGGCACGACGTGTGACGATGTCAGGGCGTCGAGTAGGCAACGGCACGGCGGCGTCAAGCTCGTGGCCGCAAGACATTGATATAGAGCACATGTACGGTGAATGCCAGAAGCGCATGGAGCGGGCGGTGGACCACTCAACGGACTTTACAAACTGGGCATTGGTATCGTCTCACAAGTCCCAGGTCCGCGTCTACCAAAACGAACGGAACGCGTCCAACCAGCAATGCGCCATGCGGTTGGTGATCCAGGTGCCTGGAACAGTGCATTCGTCCGTGGACATGCTTCGACTCTTGGACAGTCCAAGCTTCCGCCTCATCATGAAGGAAATGCACGGGAAGACGTTCATCGACGGCGAAGTCCTGCATGCCGACGGTCCGAGGCATAACGACTCCGAGTCGTCGCTGGCACTCAAGTGGATTGCGCTCAACACGGGTACCATGTTCACCAAGCCAAAGGAGTTCCTCTACTACGAGTACTGTGGCGTGCATCACTCGAGAAAGTACGGTCCTGTGGGCGTTGTGTTTCTCGAGTCGTACGACGGTGTGGGCGCCAAGTACGGCATCCGTGCGCGGCCAGACAGCTTCAAACTCGCGACGTTCGATCCGAGCTACTTTATCATGACTCCGTCTGCCGAACCCGGGAAAACGGTGATCACCCTCACCGTGTCCAGCAAGAAGGCGGGCGGGTCGAATCTCGTGAGCCCGTCGCTCAAGACGCTCATGCTCAAGTACACGGCCAACTTTGCCAATCTCGAAGGCCTCGCGCGGACGTCCATGAGTCTTCCGAGCAGCAGGACCCAGTCGAACACGATGCCGGACGTGTCCCCGCCGCCGTCCCGCAACCCCGACCACATCATTCCCGCCCACCGCGCGTCCGAGCCCCCCCCGCCTCGTCCGGCCTCGCTCGCGTCAGACACGTCCGCCAGCTCGGCACCGCCACACACGAGCAAGAAGAAGCCCCCGTCGAAGCGGCAAGAGTTCATCAATTCGGACTTTGAAGAGATCTGCCACTCGGCCATGCAAGTGCTCAACTGCCCCATGGCTGGCATCCGCACTAACTTGTTTGAGCTTGTGCATTACGACCCCAATGTGAACCCGGCGAACATGCCCAAGTCGCTGCCGACGTTCCGCCGCATGGCGCAGAGCGGCAAGCCGTGCGTGGTGCTGGACGTCAACTCGGACAAGCGCATCAGCGTCGACCGCCGAGCCACGTCGCGCATCCAGTTCTTCGTGGGGGTGCCGCTGACCCTCGAGAGTGGCGAGTGCATCGGAGATATCTGCGTGGCCGACGTCAAGCCGCGCAAAATCATCGACTTTAACGCACTGGAGATCCTCAAAGTGCTCGCGCAGTCGGCGACGCAGTACATGAGTGCCGCAGAGTACTTGGCCGAGTTCACAGACCTCCCGAGGGACATGGAACTGAATGGGCAACTCAACCGAAGGAAGGAGCCTGTCGTTCTCCCCCGTGCCCCCCCCCCGATGGCTGAGACCTCCTATGCTCACCATCAGTCTTATGACGATTACATCCAAGAGGACGAGTTCTAAGTCTTATCAACCACAAGATAAGGAACCCCATAGTGTCAATGCATTGGTTGGTTGGTATGGTGATATGATCGTCTGCACCGACTCATTTGCAGTGTTTGTCATATCAAATAGAAACCATAACATGCCACACTCATGTTATGGTTTCTATTTGTGGCCCAGCGTGTACGAGCAGTTGGAAAGTCGAAAGTGTTGTCAATCGAGCGAAATGTGCTCCTGAGAACGGTGGTGGGTCTGGCAATAATCTCACTGGGATCGTTTCATGTATATGTTATGGTTGAGTCAGATTTGAACTCATTCTGGCCCTGGGCTAGACACCACGACATGCCGTTTTGAGTGTGTCGAGTGCTTTGCAAGGCCCCATATTGGCAAGTTTACAAAGCAACCGAGCAGGAAGAGACACTACGAGAACGAACTGTACAGTATATGTACACTGCGCCATCATCCGATTAGACCTTTGATACAGCGATCCTTGGTACACGAGACTTTTCATTTACTTTGATGGGGTGGCAGTGGACGTGGTCGTCGTCCCGCGCACACGGCGGCGACCGAATACGCGACGCGCCACCACAACTGGATTTTCTCGGCCAAGAGCATGTCTGATGGATGTTGATGGAGTGTCTTGGGGGGAGGTGATAGCAGTGCGGGCTGGAGGTTCTTCCGCCGACGGGATCGCAATGTAGACGTAGACGACGGAGCGATGGGGGTGTCTGGTGTCGTGGGCTTCACGTGGCTGATCTGCCGAGCGTCGTGGAAGAGCTGGCGGAGTTGCTGGGAAGCGAGGCCGACCACGCGGCAATATGGAGTCGCGAGGCGGTCGAAGGCAGCGCGCAGACGGCGGATCTGCAGCGCCGTGTACTCGACAACGAGCGGACTAAACCGCTTCTAAGCAAGTGGAACGTCTAGTAGATGCGTGCTAGTAGGCGCTAGTACCTCTGAAACGCGGAGAGAAATGTGACGATGGAGGTGGTCGAGGTCTTGCAGCTCGTCTTGGAGTTGTACGAGGACGTGCCGGTGGTGGAGGAACTGGAGCAGGGTGTCGGACAGCAAGTCTACTTCTTGCTATTGAAAATGTATATGAATATGACAAGGACATTTGACGCCATGGAGGGCGACAGACCGACCTGTGGAAACGTAGGCCCTTGAAGCAGATTCAGCATCTATGGGTAAGCAGCGTCGATCGTGCATGTATGACATAGGCAACGTACACCGAGGTTGGCGGCGGTGAATGGGGGCGGAATGTCTGCTGACTGAAGCACCGCAGATGCCCATGAGCCTTCGAGACTACCGCCTTCGTCACTCGGTTTGGGTCGCTTGACGAGTGGTTCCATGTCTGGTGCATTATGACGAGGAGCAGAAGCAACATCGAATGTACCGTTCTCCATGACGGGACTTGCTTGGGAAGCATGCTGTCGCTGTTCTTGCACCAACGCCACCTCCTTCCGCATAGCAGACTTGGGGACACTTGTGAGGTCGATTCCTTGGAAAGAGGATTGCGTACCTCGAATGGAAGCAGAGGTGAATGAAGAAAAGCCCGCAAGTCCAAGTCCAGCACAGTGCAGAATCCACAGATCTCACACATAACCAGACCGTCTTGCATCGCGTCGAGGTCGATCAGCGACCGGCAGCATTCGCACGGAACGCTTCGTCGCCGACACACAACACTGCATTGCGTAGTTGTAAATAGGGTTTCTCATGTAGGTAGGAGTCTTACCATTCCACGGCGTATTCCGTGCATCTTAGTGGGCCTTTCGGGACGTGCACTGCCCGCGGTGGACGGTCCGAGCCTCGGCAATCACCGTTAGCACATTCATTCCAAGGCATTGCGAATAGTACTGCATAACACTATTTTAGAACACTACACTATTAATACACGACAGTAAATGGTAGCGACAGTTTTAATAGTGTTAGGTACACAAAATACTACCAGTATTAATAGTAGAATACTACGTAGTAATATGAATTCAGCTTTGCTACAGATATAACGATATTTACATTTGAAGCGTAGCGATCGATGTAAGCTTAGTGCCATGAATAAATAACGTAGTTTCCCATCAGATTAATCAAGAATGGCAGGTAGATGGAACGAGTGGCCGTGAATGCCAAGCGACTTGTCGACTGGAGTCAGCTGTTGAAGATACGAGTATACAACGAATCGTGCGAGGCGTGGACAAGGTCAAGGAGCGGCGACGACTGGTAGGCATCGTGCAGGGGCCGATCCTTCTTTGCATACAGAATCGATTCCGCGAGCGGCGCAACTTGCGCGAGAAGTTTTGCGGATTCAAGGGGGCCGATAACGTTAAGGCGGGTGGCTGCGCTAAGCAGGTCCCGAAGGGTCACAAACAGCAGAAGGCGTTGGGTCGTGATGGCGTTAACGCCAAGGGAAGCGCAGACGAAGCCCAGAACGACGACGTGGTGTCCATGCACTTTTTCGCGCTTGACGCGATGCAGCACCGACGAGGGGGGAGACGACGCGCAAGCGACGCGAAGCATGGCGGATCCTTGAGCGATCGAAGCGCGCGCTGCTACGTGGTTGGTGAGCATGGCATGCGCCAGACTGTCGAGGTGGACGAAGGAATCAAGCGAAGTGGCGGAAGCATGGGCCACAAAGACAAATGGTAGGAGCAAGTTAGCCGTTTGATGCAATGACGTGACGAGAAAAGCTTGGAGTGTGATGCTGTTGTGGACGATGTTGGCTTGAACAGCGGACTCCAGGCCCTACGAGGGAATATGTGGAGCAGGGACATGTGTGCGATGTCCTACCTGGGAGTGCGCAAAGCCACCTGTTGGATACATAGAGTCGGCTAATTGCCACACTAGCCACTCCATCTTGAGAAGGCAGGAAGGAAGTCTCGGTTGGATTGAGATTTGTTGAAACTGCATTTCTGTCCAATCAGCGAATTAGCATGGCTTTCTGTATAAATTATGTCCAATCAGCGAATTAGAAGACAAAATAAACAGAAAATCTGCCTGTGCTGCCGTCGACTGTCATTCATATGTTTGACATGAGCAATCGCCGGCCGCATGCGGGAACTCCCCCAGATCGTCAACATCGTCGTGTGTCTTGTCGCTGTGACGAGGCTCATGGTGTCAAGAACTTGTCCTTGGGCAGCGAACGGCCCGCCAGTGTGGGATGTGCCATGCAAAGGATCCCCGGAAAAGTGCAATATTCGACAGGGAGGTCTGGCAGCAGTAACGACAACGTCGACGACGTACCCTCCATCGATCACGATCGACTTGAACAAGCGACGCATTGTCGTGTTGATCTCCAATTCCCGGCACTCGACTCCCTGCACGATCATCAGAAATATGTTCCACTGCATGTCGATCTTGAAGCGTCGCTACTTCGAAGTATGTATTACCAGTATAATACTTCTTCGAAGTATTATTTTAAATAATATTGTGCCTAGGATTATTTTAAATGTCACCTTCTGCTTCGACTTTATTTTCACGACTTCAATTGTCCATACACGTGATTTATTGGTGTCAATGAAACGACCCAATACTGTAATACTATGAAATACTATTATTAATAATAGTATTATTAATAGGTAGTAGCATTCTAATTGCAGTGTGGCGATCTCGAAGCGTCGCGAAAACCATACCAGTATACTTCGAAGAATTAAATCTTTAAACCAGCAGCTGACTAACTTCCAATATTACTGATATCAATACAATTGGACTGTAGTGCTTCCGAAATAGTTTTTTAATTCGTCAGTAAATGTCAAAATATGCATGCACTTTGCTACTAATTAGATATATCTATTCCAATCAAGAAATCAGCAACTTCGAAAGAGACTAGGTTACGGATAAAAAATGCAGTAGCCGATCATTTAAATCCTATGGCAGAATAATACGAAAGGTCCGACCAATCTATAGGAGATTCTAACCAATAAGACGTTAAGACTATACATCTAACCAATCAAAGTGCTTCGGCAGTGCTTTTATAGCCAATCAAAAACTTTAGGGTTAGGGGGTCCCCTACGGCGGTCATCTATGCAGATGCGGTCGGAGTTTGTTTCATGTTATGCGTTATGTATATACAAATAATGAGGTAAACAGATATTGTAAAAGGTCCGACCACACGCCTCTTGGACGGATCTTGAACAGACCGATGGATCGCTTACGCCCTCAGTCGACCGTGCATGCCCGAGCTACGGGAATCAAGTCCTTTCTCAAATTCCTTGAGACCGAGCGAGTGCAGGTCGACAATGTCAAGTCGTGCATGCGCAAGGACACCACTGGTCAGTGCTTTGCATCCGTAATGGAGAAGTTCGCGCTGTACCTTGCTGCATGTGAAAGAGCACCTGGCGTTCCGCTTGCAAAGAACTCGTGCATGCAGTACTTCCGCCAGGCCAAGATGTCTCTACTCGACCAGTTTCCTCGACTGCAGGCTCTGGTGGAATCCAAGTTGTTGTGTGCGGGAAAGATCTTGCAGAACTACTGTGCGAAAAAAGATGGCGGCGCGATCATCAAGCAATCGATTGCATGCACGAAGATTTCATTACAATTAATGATACGCTATCTGTATGCGAACGCTGCGACTACCAGGACGCTGCGTTGTTGACGTTGCTTTGGTATCTGCTTGGGCGGGCGTCCGATTTGGCCATGGTTCGAAAGCACAACTTGTCTATCGACGGCGGTGGTGTTTTTTTCCTACGATTTGTGAGAGTAAAGACAAGTGAAGAGCAAGGACTATCGATTTACCCTGACTCAAACTTTACTACCTGCCCTTTGCTTTCCACGGCGCTTGCAATGATAAAACAACAAGCGCCATGCTCTCGAATCGCGAACAACCTACCCGAGCAGAGTACTGACGTGGCTCACATCCTTGGCCCTGAAACGCCGCTAATTGACGTCCTGGACAATCCCGGCCGCATTGAAGTCCCAAGGAACGTGAAGGCCTCGGCTGCAACAAGGCCTCGCGACCCTACCATTCACAGTCACGTGAATCGTTCCCTTGGTCGCATTGGTGACGCTTCAGGCGTCGACGTCAAGTTGACATCTCACTCGTTTCGTCGTGGTGGAGCGCAACACGCGAACGGATCACAGCACTTAACGGCGCGTTGGATCTTCGACCGCAGGGCGTGGAACATCTCCGCAACCAACAAGGGCTTCAACTACATTTTCATCACCTCAAGTGAAGACCACAAAGTAGCCAAAGTGTTGAGCGGGTGGTCTCCAAAAGAACCAGTTGTGCTTTTGGATCTTACCTCGTTCGATTCGCAGACGACCGAAAGCATCCACGCTGTCCAGGACCATCTATTTGCAACATGTACTGGGCTTGGTAATCCATCGTTCAATCTTAACAAGCGTGTTGTTGACACGTTGACAACGTACCTCCTTTTGCACTATCCGAGTCTCAAGCAGCTGAGCCCTTCTAGCCCTGCCATCATGCGCCTCGAGGAATGCGCTGGTCTAGCAGGATGCAGCAACGTCGACTTGTTAGCATGGTCGTCCCATTTGAGCACGCCTATCAGCGTAGCAGCCGTTCCGTCAGCATCAACTCGTGAATTGTCGAACGACTCCCCACCATCATACGAGACCGCAGAACAAAGACTCATTCGACACCAGGCATCAGTCATTGACCACTTCATCAACATCGGACGGCGACAAGAGAAGCGCCTCCAAGCCCTTGAGGAAAAGCTTCAAACTTGTGCCACACCTAAGCGCAAGGAAAGTGAGGTCAAAGTCGGGCAAGTCATGCCGAACAGCAAAGGGAAACGGCAAAAGCAATGTTCAGTTGCTTCCTTGCGGTCCACGTGGTATGAGTGGTTCACACTCGAACCAATGGTCTACAATGGCAGCGCATCGAAGCAGAAGAAGTACACGTCGAAGCACATCGTAGCCTGCATGAAGTTGTTCTTACCCGACGGGTTTGTGCTGGACGAAGACAGCCAAACGTTCCGCGACGACGTGCTGTCCACAGGAGCTGCCGCAGAGATCGCTACGCTGGAATTTCTGCGCAGCAACAACGTGCAATCGAAGGGAACCAGCGCTGTTCTCAAAGCACTACAAGGCACTCATCGACTGGGGCATCTCAATGCAAGGATTATCCATTACCGCCAGCTTCGTGCATCTGGACGAGTGATTGATCCGGCCCCCAGTTTCATTGGACATCCTTGACGAAAGCAACTAAAGCCTCGTGTAAAGAAGGCTGCATATACATTGGTGTTAATCATAATTATTCAGAAGTATAAACCATGTATGGGCATTCGTACCCAGGTAGACACATCTCGTCGGTGGTCACAGCGACTACTTGAGAGCCACGCCTGCAACAAGCAGCGGCTGAACGACCCATTGATCCTACGACTCGACAGCATACTTGAGTACTAAGCAATACACATGCACATATATATATTACCTGGGGCGTGATTGGACATGCCGCCGGCAACTCCAAGTCGCCCCACCATGGCAGGACCACCCCATCGGCAACCCCATGTTGACCCACCATGTCCTTTCGTAGATGGGCCCAAGCAACGTCTCAAACCACGGCACATGCGGCGGCTTTGTGGCCCACGAGCGACCAAATCCCGTGGGCCACGGCGGCTGCAAGCGGCGGCTCGGATAACACGTTGATGCTACGACACGACTATCCAGATGAGTAATAATAATACATATAACATACAGGCATGCACACACATACATACCTGCGACATGACTGGACATGGTCGGACCACCCCGTCGGCAACCTCATGTTGCCCCACCATGGCAAGACAGAGGAGTCATCTCAGGACGACCGAACACCCCAGTGAACGCACCGTCCCCTTGTGCCAGCGACTGTGCCGCGATGAATCCAAGACGGCGATACTAGGGCCAGTACATCCTCCGGGGTGCGCAGCCATCCCGCTCCGAGCAATTCTGGTCACTTCCAACCTCTCGAAAGTGTTTCCGGCTCATAGATTCTATTGGTGGATTAGTTTTGGTTATCCGGTATTTCTGGCGCGTGTCCTTGTGACCAGAATAATATTCATAGATGACCATTCCACGGTCGGACCTTTGATGCTATGGAATAGAGGAAGAACTAAGTTACTTCAAGTACCGGTCCTTCGAGGTACTAACACTGTTATGTAACTATTGCACGCAGAAATTCTGATCTATAATGAGTTCAAGTGTAGGGAATCTAAATATAATGAAATTTAATACTATTGTGCTTTTCATATATTCTGGCTATTCAAGGCCTAAATCCGTGGTTTAAAAAATTTCGTCGTTGATTAGTCCTGTCCGGCCATTATATTACGGTTGATGAATTCATAATTTTACGGATGGCGATGTTTAAACAACTGCATACGCAACGATGATTGGCTAAGTAATTGGTGGCGTGCCAGAGTTTAAGCTTCATCACCTTGTTTGCCGATTTGAATTCGGCAAACAAGTTGTTTTACCATGATCAGCATTGACATGCGCTGGAGATGCGTTGTCCTCGTTCAAGTCTACGGAATCGAAACCGAATGCGTGTGCCTCCTCCTTGGCATCTCCGAGCGTAGTGTAACCAGGTTGAACAAGATGTTTCGACAACTGGCCATGTCTGCAACACGAAGAGGCGGGTCCGGGAGAAGCGATGGCCGCCGGAAGTGAACTCATGGGTCAGCGAGTACGCCATCGCGCATCCCTGCTTCTACATAGAGGAGTTCGAAGAGGCGCTGCGACTGCAGTTCCCGTCGCTCAACAACATCTCAGCGTCTACGATATGCAGAGCGCTCATGTATGATCTAGGATTAACGCGAAAAGGTATAATTGAGCATATTTCTTGCATCAATTCTAAAGTAAATAGTCCTAGAGAAACGTGCCCGCGAGGCTGATGAGTTTGAACTTCGGGACTACTATCGGCGCTTAAGCCCGTACTACTCATACCCTGATCAACTGGTCTTTGTCGATGAGACATCGAAGGACGGCCGGGACTCAATCCGCAAGTACGCCTGGTCGAAGCGGAATCAAAAGGCGATTGTGGACTTGCCCTTTTCTCGTGGTCAACGAGTTTCCGCTCTGGCTTCATTTACGACTGCAGAGTTTTTGTCTTGGGAATATCGATGGTATGATTGATATTTATTTTGGAGTTTTTTGTTTGGGATAAATTCACATTAATAGTTAATTAATGTAGGGACTTTTGACCGTGTGAATTTTCACGACGCCATGGTCCGGAAAATTTTGCCGTATTTGAACCCTTGGCCATTGCCGCGCTCGATATTGATCGTGGACAATGCGAAAATTCACATGTACAAAGAACTTCAAGACGCAGTCCATGCCCGAGGCGCATTATTGTATTTTTTGCCGCCATATTCCCCGCAGTTGAATCCCATTGAAGTTGGTTTTAGCCTTCTGAAGCGCTGGATCGATATCCCATGGCATTCTGCTTCAACATTCGGTCAGTATTAGATGTAGCATTTGTGGAATGCACAAAAAAAGATGAGCAGATAGGACTCAATTTGTACCGTCACTGCGGTTACAATTCCACAGATTTAGACAAAGATACATTTTTAATGGAATAATCTGAAATTATTTATTAATGTGATCGCCGTCCTCAACATTGACGCTGGGCACCAGAAATTCTCCCTCTACTGGCGCCCTAAATATTGGTGTCAAGTCGAACGGGGGAATTCCCAGAATGCCACGCAGGTCTTCCACCGAGAGGAAAATGTCCACAGGGGAGCTGGCCATCGTGCCAAGGCGCATACGCACCCTGCGGTACGTGTCGGTTGACTGGGAGATACTTTCGCGGTGACGGGCGGCAGCGTGCTGGGCGAGCATGCTGTCAATGTGGCCAAGCTGGTCCATTGTTGCATTCGACGGTATTTCGACGGGGGCAGTCACGGGCAAACGGGCAGTAACGACCCCCGTATAATCCGTTTGGAGCGGTCCAAGCACGATGTTTTGGTCGCGAATATAATCCGCAACTCTGACCGCTGACGTTGCAATGTTGCTTGAGGTTGCGCGTCTTATCGCGGTACTTGCCGCTTTTTCTAAATGCCACAAAAATATTTTGGTTAATTTTATCCTTTAAATTAAACAATATTTGTTTTGATTTATAGGACGTTAATGTTGTGTTACCGATGTAGACAAACAGCAGCAGCTTGAATGATGCTTGTGCATTTCGAATCTTGCTGGCATTGTCCCATACTTGTTGGAGCACATCCGAGTAGTTTTGCAGCGTCATTTGGACGTATTTTTCCTGCGTTGTGTTTGCGGCCACCTTAACGAAGATGTCGCTAGGGGTAGTTTGGGTAGCAGGGTTCCAAGAGAGCTTAACGTTCGTTGGGACAGCATGGTGTTCAGCGACAGCGGTCGTGACGGCATCCATAACAGACCCATGAAGTACCCCAAACGACGTACCAGTCGAGATGGTCAACTCGGTTGGCTTTCCGACACTAGTTCTGCTCTTGCCCAATGGCACGCCAACCTTGGTTGCCATTTGACACCGAAAGGAGTCCGGGAACTCGACGTTCAACCGCTCGCCTTGCATGTTGTTTTACGAATGGTGATTGTCGAATTTAACGTCATTACAAGTTTAGCACAGGTGCCAGATTCATGGTTTGCGTTGAATAACGTTCTTGGCCCGGTGGTTATATTCCTATCACCCCCTTGTATTATGAGCTAAAAGAACGGGCAAACTTCATGCAAAGCACAATACGTAGTAGTACTTTAAAGTACCCATACAGTACCCACCAGAGCACCACGACACACGAATGGTGGATGGAGGAGTGTTGTAGAGGACTCCTTTGTCGTCGATGCACTACACTCTCCTCTGTAGCCTCTGCAGTGTATTACGATGTGCTCTTCCGACGCTGAACATCACTGTCTACTGCGACCGAGCCTCTGTGATACCGGTAGTGCTTCCAACTCTCTGTTGGGCATACAATAACACCATTGGCATACCATCGTTGTAGGAGATCAATAATGCACATGTTATTGAGCACACGAGCCGTGAAAACCATGACTTCCTTTTGCTGCAGATACAATGTCCATGTTTTGTCATGACATGTCTGTTTGATTGATTTGGCAATATATTTGGTGATTTCTTCATATTCTATATTTGACCAATCAAAGCGATGCATTTCGAGCAAATTTCACAAAATTCAGAAAATATATTCAAATATTAACGTAAAAAACCAATTTATGATAATTGTTTTGGAGGCGTCGGAGTAGAATGAACATAACTTTTGAGTCCGTTACGATATTTGAGTTTTGAATAGTGATTCCAATAGACAAGACTCTCCGCTTTCAGTTCATAATCGAATTATCAGTTTAGTCGAAGAACATCACAGGTAAATTTGTTACTTTCTAAGCATTTGTCTATACATTTTGATAACCAATTTAGGATAACTTTTTTATCTTAAAGTATGTATGTGTCGGAGCATTGAAATTCTGTGTTTAGGGTAAGCGGTTACTGGGAAGTACAGAATGCAACATCCGCCGAAGATATTAGTGTGTCACAGTACAAATTATCCAATCAAAATGAAACGCCAAAATACCTCGCGTTAATTGGCGGAATTATAATACTTCGCGCTCGCGCACTTTTCAAATTAAAATATCGGTATGTGGTTGTCAAAATCCACACATCACCGCACACAACCAAACATGCGCCGGCCTACGCAATATCCGATTTCTACCAAGCTCGAAGCAATCGGACTCTCGAGTCTATGTCCTGTCGCGAGGTGGCGAGAGTACTGAAAGTCCCTCGGTGCACCGTTCGCAGCTGGCTCGCCGAGCGCCTCGAGCTACTGGCGTACGACGGCAACAAGAAAAACAATAAGCTCGAGCCAGGTGGCCGCTACAAAGAATTCCCTGACCCTCCAGGTTTAGTTGAATTCATAACTCATGTTCGCGATAATGAACGTGTTTTGACCACCACACACATGATTACGTGGATTAAAGTGAACCAAAGGGAATGGTTGCTCAACTACCTCGCAACTCAAAAGCCGGATGCTGCCTACAACTCACTGCTCAAGCTACTGCAGCGATTTTGCAATCACCACGGCTTCTCGCGTTAACGTCCCACGAAGAACAAGCTCAAGCCAACCGTGCTGGCGGAGGTTGCTGCGGAATTCGCCCGTGATTTCCATCACGAGTATGCCTGCTACTGCAAGGACTGCGTGTTCAACGTGGATGAGACCGGCATGCACTACGACTTACCTCCAAGCTACATCTGGAAAGTTCGTGGCGGAAGCTCCAAGCTCTCCGCTGGTGAGAAACACTCGATGCATATGACGGCAGTGCTGACTGTGCGGGCTGACGGAACGAAACTGCCGCTAATGTTCATCATGCGTGGCACACCTGGTGGTCGGATCGAGTCCTCAGAGTTCCCAACTTTTCCAAGTGAACACTATTACGCTGTTCAAACCAAGGCCTGGATGGATGGACGTGTTTGGGCTCAGTACCTGCGGGAGGTGCTGGGGGAGGGCATCGAAGAGCCATCCGTTGTTCTCATGGACAACTTCGAGGGTCACGTTTCTGCGCCATCGTACAAGATCATGTACGAGGAATTGGGTACGCACATCTGCCCCCCAACTCCACGTCCGTGTGCCAGCCGCTCGATGTGGGAGTCATGGCGCCTTTCAAGCGCAACCTCCGCAACTTGTGGCTCCTGGAGGAGCAGATTATTGGCGACGACCTGTACTCACTCACCGCTCAGCAAAAGCGCACGGCCATGGTGCAGCGGTGCCATCTCTGCGTGGGATATGGTCTCTGAAGACGTGGTCCGTCGAAGCTTCGAGAAGGCCATTCCAGCACCTGAACATAATGCAAACCAATAAAATTATTCGTTGTGTTTATTTATTGTATACGAATATTAGGATATTTTCAAAGCGAATATTTTTTTTGAAAAAAGTTCACCGCGCCCAACAATTGAACCCGGGGCTAACACAAGACGCCCAACACGTTTTACTACTTGAGCTATCGCACCGGACGCTTACGCTTACTCCTTGACTACGGTACCATTCGAAGTTCATGTTACAATATTCCTTGTAATACTTATGACCTCTACAATTGATTGTGACAATGTGTTTGCTTTGCAAATTTCCTGCAATGTGAGATGTAGAATTTTATTACCTCTTGAATCGATTAAAAAATTTCAAAGTGACTGTGATAGGCTAAAATAGGTGTCAAACTTCGAACTTCAGTGGCCAATCAGACATTGCAATTATCGCAATAGTCGAAGACAAGGTGGGCGTTGCTTTCTGTACTTCCCAGTACAACAGGTTGCATATAATTTATACAAGGGTACTATTTTATAGAGTTATATTTCTGTTGTGGATGGATGTCCACCGAGTTTAACACTCGACAAAACCTCAGATCCAACCCAATGTGGCCCGTGTCGACTAGGGTACTTCAAACCCAATCTTGAATGACTGTTACCTATGGTTTCTGCGCCGTTTTTGCATTTCATTCACGTAACAGAATGGTCAGCATTATATGACAGAGGTTTTGACTCGAACAAATAACGATGTGTGATTGGGCAATACAAAGTTATCCTAAATTGGTTAAGTTATCTTAAACTGGTTTTTTACGTTATATGAAAGCCTCATGTACAGTACAAATCCATAATACAAATATCTGCAGTTATCAACTTGGTTTTTATATTGAATTTTCACGTCGCCGTTACGCTCACAAAAGTGAAATATAGTTCATAAAAGAATGGGGGTAGACTCATCTGACCAATAGGATCAAGTATCACCAATCCATTTGCCAATCCGAGATCAGGAAGCCCCCAACTGTTCCTGCTCGCAATAGTTACATAACAGAGGTATTACTAGTACCGTATCGTGTATATAAAGTGCGACAGGTGATATTTCACAACCCCACGACGTTCCTCGATGAAAAATTGTTAATCCATTGCGACATACGAATATGAAGTCATGTGATTCTGCTGCTGGTGTGGTAAAATAGATAGAGGTTTTACCAATATTGATACGTAGAGATAAACGAATTCTGAAGTTGTGATCCATATACAAAATCGTATACAATAATATTCTAATTCATCGTGATGGTCAATGTCATCGGATGGGTCAATGGTATCATCCACTGCACAACCAACATGAAGTTGCGCCAACATGTCCTCATCTACAAAAGCTGCTTCAATCTCGTCACTTTGGGTGACAGGTTGAATCAACTTGCACTTCCCAAACTCATTGAGAATTGTTGAACGCGGCAAATCGTCCCAAACCTGTGTAATCCACCGCACTATCGTTGCACGGGACGGAGGAACCAACTTGAAAGTCGTCGCTTGGTGCTTGTGGTGCCGAACTTGGCGTGGAATGAGGTCAATCCACAATTGCCGTAGTCTAGTCTTCATCGGGCGAATCCATGCAACGTCGGCAGGCTAGCAGATCCACGTGAATCTTGGAGGGACCTTCTCCAACACGACGTTCAACTCGCGGGCACACTCCACAACTTCGTCAGTGAAGTGGGTCGAAAAGTTGTCCCACAACAACAACACCTTCTTGGTCGAACGATCCGGTCGGTTCTCAAAGTGGGACTTGAGGAAAGCCACACTGATGTCGGAGTTCCACCACGTAATTGGATTGCCGTATAGACGACAGTTGAATCGTGCTTGGAGAGGCTCGACTTGCTTCCACACTTGCTTGCCGAACCCATGGCGCTGAGTCAGCTTCTCTTGGACGACAGAATTGACCTTGGACGCAGTGGTCTTCAGCACAAGAAACATGGGTAGCTTGTCACCGTTCGAGTTGGCAAGAAGCATGGCTGTAGCTAGATCCTTGGTCTTGCCACCGCACTTGATCCATACGGTCTTGTCTCTTTTCGACTGCATGGTCTTGGCAGGCAGGTACTCGTAGTTGACACCAGTTTGGTCAGCATTGTATATTACGTCGATACCGTGTTCGACGACTACAGCTTGGACCCTCTGCACAAACGCCGCCAGCGCCGCCTCGCCATCCCCTTGAGTGTCTTGGCCTTGGAGCGTGCGTGCTCGAATAGCAAGACCATGCCGCTTCTTGAACCCACGCGTCCAGTGCCAGCCAGCATGGAAAGCGTCGTCGGGAGTTCCAAGTCGATAGCAGTCTCGAGTGCCATCAGCTGCAGCATGTGTGGAGTCACGGGCACACCATCTTTGCGCATCGATGCCACCCACTTGGCGAGCTGTTCTTCAGCCTCATGTGGCAAGCTTGTTCCCACACCATTCGTGCGGCTGCACTTCAGGTTGGCCGTCCGCCGGTCGGCAGCCTTCTCTTGGATGATCTTCCGCTGCTTTAACCACTTGTAGATCTTCTTCCTTGTTGTCTCACGGGACGGTCCACGGAGGTGGCCAAAGTGCCTGTCTAACGTCTCGGCCACGCCAAGGGTGTCGACACATTCGATGACTTCCATCTTCTTGTACGTAATGTTCTGGTACTTGAACTTCTTGGGTCGGGCCTTGTGGAGGCCGGTCAGGACGGGTCGGCCGCGTGGTCGTCTTGGTGGCGGTGCTTGTGGGGCTTCGTTCTCCATCACACAATTTGATCACTGGTCCGATGCTCATGAGGCCTGAAACAGCGCTTGACGTGATTCCCGCGCGTTTAACCTCGATATTATATTTGATCTGCGAGTATATATTAATCCTTGAAGGGTATGCCCGTGGGAGGTTTATACTGGCATATCTGATGTTGCAACTCAATTGAAAATTATCAATTCCTGCAGGAGTCGCAATGCATTAATCCGTCGCACTGCATATACACGATACGGTAATAGTAACTTAGAGCTTCCCCACCGGCTGATGTAGAAATGTAAAAATCTTCAAAGTACATCACTACATCAGCAATATTTACATTTTTCAGACCCACGCCGGTTGCCAATAAATTTTACATCATGATGTAAACGCTCCATAAACACAGATTTCTCAACAGATCTTTTGGGCCGTTTACAGTTCTACGCGATTGAGGTCCCAATGGACTTCTTCAATGAAGTATGCCATCCCGACGTCCTGTAGCATGCCGGCAGCATGAATGTGAATCGAATGTATGCCAAGCCTGCCGCACTAAATTCTTGACTGGCGAGAGCTCCAAAACCTCAATCGCCAGCGGGCGTCCTACGCGAGTTTGCTCCATCAGGAGTACAATTTCCGCCAACCGGTGTGGATTGGCTGTGAAGTGATGTACTGTTGTTACAGCACGCACCCAATAAACCGGTCTTTTCAGCTCTATATTTACATCAAAAGCATCCCCACCGGCTGATGTACTCCGAGTACTGTACTATTAAGAGTACTAGTACTCATAATATTATCGAGAGTGTGGAAACAGCGAAACAGTCCGGATATTTGAGAATCATTATACGGATTACGGTTTGTGGATTTCGGGCTGTCCGAAATTTGACCGCTACACTAAAGGATGTCGAGCGCGCAATCGCAACTGCTCAGTCCAGTGGACACCGACGACGTCATGCCTCGGGCCATAGGAGCCTTGACAACCACAGGAGAGTACAACCAAGTGCACCGCAGTGTCGGCTCGCCCTCCTACCAAGACAGCCCCTCTGGGGAGGTTGTAGCCATGCACCAAATCAGCTCCAGTCCCGCTACATCAAGCCCAATGAAATCACAACTGAACTTTATACTTTCCAGTACGGGCTCCGCAGTGCAAGGACAAAATTATGCGGTGACTACCATGCCAGCAGCTGCAGCGGCCCCGTTGAAGCGAGGTCGAGGGCGACCCCGCAAGCATCCCCTGCCGCCTCCCGCCGTTTCCGGCACCAGCTCGGCGGCGGCCAACGAATGGCCTCTATCCGTCACGCCTCCCCAAGATAAAGGCACCACGGCAGCCCCCACAACCATCTTGTCTTCGGGACTGGTGCCCGTCGTAAAACGTGGACGAGGGCGGCCACGCAAAGTGCCGCTGGATCCGTCGCTTCCGCCTGTCCCTCCACGGTACGCCGCCAACAATCTCCATCGAACATGATTCCAAGCACATACGACAGGGTTCGCGTGGTTGTACCGCCCGTTCCCGTCGTGCCCCGCTCTGCGCGCGTGAGGAAGTCGACAGCCATCTTTTCACCTGGAGGAGACAACCGTCCTAGGAAACCCCCAGCGGCGATGTCTGGTGTCCGCCGAGGCCGCGGCCGTCCTCGGTCGACCAACACGTCTTCGTCACCTTCCATGTCCAATCCGCACGTCCACCGCATCGTTCGCCGCGTCCGAAATCGAGTAAGAAGACCGTGCGATCGCTCGCATCCACCAAAGGTCGTGTTGTTTTCGTAGTTGAGTTCCATGCGCATCAACATGGCGTTCGTGGATGCGTATGAGCAGACGGGGTGGCGCCAACGGAGCAGCGAGAAACTCAAACCCACGGCCGAGTTGGTGGCCGTTCGCCAGAAACTTGCGCGGCACCAACGGGCGTTGCTGCGAGAACTCGCCGAGTTTGACGCCGTGTTCGCCATGGACACACCGCTGCCCACCCACGCGAGCGAACTCGCTCACGACGACGACATCGTGTGCTCCAAGTGTCAGTCCACGCTCACCTCTGACGGTAACGACATTGTGCTCTGCGACTGCGGCACATGTCATCGGTATGTGTATTGATATATTGAACGCTGTAATATCCAGGCACATATGTACCGATGGTGGTGTGTTGATTCTGATGTATATTATGGCGGTGTTGACTAGAGCGTACCACCAGCAGTGCCTGGAGCCAGTACTGGCGACCTTGCCGGAAGAGTCGGCCGAATGGTACTGTCCTCGGTGCGACGGTATATTTCAGTGTCTCGTACTTCTCAACGCTACCTTTGGGTCGACGTGGGAATCCCTCTCAGAGGTAGGTATACACTATGACCAACAACTGGACCTTGATATTGAGAGTTATATGTGTCACTTTGGATTACTGTGTAGTAGCTAGTAGTAGTAGTAGTAGTTAGTACTAGGAATGTGTCTTGTGCATTCAACTAGTCGATAGTAGTGTAGCAATATGGATGTTTAAACGATATATCACTCAAGGAACGGATCGTAGGTGTTTCCAGAGTTGACGGCCCATGACCTAGAGGGTGACACGAACGAGATGTCGTCCGACGCGCGGCAAACGCAGCAAGACATGGACGAGGACAAAGCTTCGGATGAAGACTTTGACAAAGTAGGGGTCGATTGCCTTGTATAGGATTGATTGGTCTCTCATCAAGTGAGTGTTGTTGGGGTGGTGTGTAGTCGAGTGTCGACGGGGATGACGACGACGACGACGAAGAGGAGGAGATGGCGGACGAACGTGACGCGCTGAGCGATGCAGAAGTGCAGTTTCTCACGACCACGACGGACGTGTTGGATGCCGCACGCCGCTCCATGCGCTCCCACCAGATGTCACACGACGACCAGAGTGACGAGGACGTGACGACGTTGATTGTGTCTGGGAAACGCCGACGCACGGCGGTGGATTACCGCAAATTGCACGGCGAAATGTTTCCAAATGCAAAGCCAGAAGACGACGATGATGACGACAAGGACGAGTATGTGCCACCGCAAAACGAGGACGAAGCATAAGTAGGGTTAGTAGGCTGGAAATGAAATGTCTATGTGACGAGACCATGCGACGAGGCCGCCTGCGACATGCCACGTGTCGGCTGTACGACCCGCGGCGACCAATTGGTGGACCGCGTGTGTGGAATCCATCCCGCGGCGACAAATCACAGCCACTAACGTCCCCGTGAGATAAGAAACGGCAGTTTGATTTAGTAGTACCGGCGGACGAAGAGCCGACAAGAGACGGGATGGAGGCGGGGAGGTCGGCCAGAGGGATGTTTATCGAGGGCACGAGGTGGCAGATGTCGTAATGCACGCGCTCTCGGACGTCCACTAGCACGAGATCGGGGTGGTCTTGGAGCAACGAGGCCAGAATCTATGTATGTATATGCATCGAAAAGAGAGGGAAGAGTTGGATGCAGTTACGTGGACAGTGACGGTGTGCGAAGCATCGACGGGCGACGGGAGCTCACAAACGAGTGGACCTACGGACGCGGCCGACTCCAACGCCGACCGAATGGTTGGCGATATGCCACACACATTGCATTGTGGTCGTTTCGGTGGGAGCTAAGGCATACATACACATGGTAATTTATCCAAGGATGACCAGAATGAGTAAATTGAGATACCTTATAATGGCGAAACGTCATGTCCCACGCATCGAATGCACATTGAACACCACTCAACACACGGCCGAGTCCGGAGATGACTTTGACGGTCTACGGGAAGATGAAGGACGGCGATGGAAAAATGGAAGTGACTGCATGCACCTCCATGGCTTGAAGGGAGCCAATAATACCAGGGACGACACCGAGCACCCCTTGCTCGGAGCACGTACCAGCCTAATGCGCCGTAAGATGTGTGCTTAGGAGGTAGTAGGTCTTTACCATGGTCTGGGGCGTTGGGGTAGGAAAGCAGCAGCGGTAGCACGGTCCGCCTTGAAAATTGAACACGGACACTTGGCCTTCCATGCCTAACGCACTTCCACTCACGAGTGGCTTGTGCATCAGACAGCACATGTCGTTCACCAAGTACCGCGTAGCAACATTGTCCGATGCGTCAACGACAACGTCGTAGGAGTGCATGATATCAGCTGCGTTGGAAGTGTCCATGTGGACAGGAAACACCTCGACCGCGACAGACGGCGATCGCAGGTGCAGCGCGGCTTGCGCGCTCTCAACCTTCAACTGACCGACGTTGGCAGGGGTGTGCAGCACCTGGCGATGGAGATTGCTCATATCCACGTGATCTCCGTCAACAATACCAAGGTGTCCGACTCCCATACCACTCAAGTAAAGTAGTACGGGGCAGCCAAGGCCACCAGCGCCAACGACTAGGGTTAGCGTCAGAAACACACAAGTCGCATTGGTATACCTAATACTCGACTCTTAAGCAGCTTTTTCTGCCCTTCCACGCCGAAGTCTTTGACCAGAAGCTGGCGGCTGTAGCGCGCCACCTCGTCCGATGGAAGCGCCGCGAACCTGTGCATTGCCATGGTATCAAAACGAAATGGCCAATCAAGTGTCAGTACGCTTCATGCAATGGACCAATTAAAGTGCATGCGTCAAAACGTTTAACGCTGTTATATCCCACGTTAAAGACCTTAAAACGTGTCGGTCAAAATCCCCCGTTACTTCCGCGGAGCGACCGCAGTTCCAACCGCAGAACGCAGAACGATGCAGGACAAGCGGCGCGCCACAAGCGACACTAGCAGCAGTCCAGGCTCGCTTATGGGTACACGTGATGTGGCTATAGATCGAACGTTGTCGTCCACGTCGGCGCTGCCGACACCTCGGGGCATCGGTAGCACTCTCAACGTGTGCGTGGAAGGCAAGTTCCTCGGAATCCTCATGTCTGGCATGGTGGAGAAGCGTCGCGAGGGAGCTGTTCGAGCTGGTTTTGCACGGCGCCTCTTCCTTCTTAGCGTGCGGGGATGCCACTACTACCGCAAGGCGGACGACGCTGAAGTCTTTGGCACGGAGCGTGGGCACCTGGCCCTTCGCGACTTTGGCTACGCGAAGATCGTTCCTGAGAACGAAGCGCCGTACGGAACCGTGGAGCCCAGCGTGGACGGTTACCATTTCGTCGGATTATTCTCCAAGCAGCACACGCTCACGTGGTTCCTCCGCGTGGACTCGATGGACGTCGCGAAGGCGTGGGTGACGGCCATCGGCGCCGCGCAAGAGATCGCCAAGAAACACTTGTACCCCACGGAGTGGACTTCCACCATGTACAACACGTTCAGCTCCATTCTCACCGGGTACGCTTGCGTCTTGTATTGAGTCCTTGCGTGATCAACTCGATCTGTAGCCATGCGCTGCTTCCTGCGCCTGCCAACGAAACCGGATCGACTTCCGCCACTCCGTCCAACCACGACTCTGAATCCCCATCGTCGTCGTCTCTTCCTGCCTTGGTATCCTTTGTGGTGTTTGTATGTGTGTGGTTAATACAAGCTCTTTCCACAGGAGGTGGCGTCGATCTTAGCCGTTTCCATCGAGCAACCTTCACAGCAGCATGACATGACCCAACACCTTCGCCGCGAACGACTCGTGTCCCGCAAAGTCCACCTGAATCAGCCGATTTCCGTCGGCACGTCGTTGCTTCTGAACGAATCGCTCACCATCCTGCTCTCAAACGGGCAATCCGTCTCGCTCTCACTCGAAACTGTGCGCCATGCAGCCCCAACCTCCTCTCTCTCCACCACCCTTCCGATTGACTTGGCCACATCCTCGTTCCGCATTCAAGGTAGGGTGGTATATTGAAGCCTTTTCTGCGACTTCCTCAATCGTTGCCGCGTTTGTACGCTAATTAGCCTCGCTACACTTGACAAAGTCGGCAAGTCCACCTACGACCGTCCCCTCAACTCCGTTGTCCCCATCTTCTTCTTCCTTGCATACGTCTTCGCACGAGTTGCTGCAAGCCCCGTACAACGCGGCGGCGCTGGCCTTCAGCGGCCTGTACATCGTCAGCTGTGTGTTGGCGTACGCCTTCGGCCCGCCGTTCCAAGGGCTCATGCAGATCACAGTCATCTTGGGCGCTTTCCTGTCGCTGTCTGTGGTGGCGTCTGCCGGGCTTCGTGTTCATGAGATTGCCAGTATCAAGGCAGGTCAAACCAGAGCCGCTACCTCCACTAACTCTGGGCCTTCGGTCGGCTCGTACGCGGCCACATTGACCATCACGGCGCTCGACCGCGTGGCCCCAGCTCCAGAAGAACAGACCCCTGGAGAGAAGACGACGACAACGTCCGAAACGGCGCCGAAAGCGGTGCCTGAACTCGCGTTTTCGCCGCGGTTCATTGCAGCGGAGAAGGGCAATGTGGACAAAGGACGCGTGCGGTACGAGAACACGCTGCAGTGGCGCCGAGAAAACCGAGTGGACGGGATGCTGCACATCCCCCAGCCACATTTCCACTTGATCAAGAAGAATTACCCCCAGTATTTCCACGGCCAGTCCATCAAGGTACTAACTACTTACACGCACGACCTATCGCTATAGTGCATTCCTATATATATCTGTGTGTACGATGGATTTGTAGGGCCATTGCGTATATTACGAAAAAGTGGGCAAGATTGACCTCAAGGCGATGAAAGCGGCGGGGCTGACGATCGAGCAGTTGCTGCGGCATTACATTTACCTGACCGAGTACATGTGGACGATTCTGGAGCCGTCCGACTCGGGGCGCAGCGTGACGGTGCTGGACGTGGAGGGCATCGGGTTTTACGACCTGACGGGGGACGTGATGGACTTTGTCAGGCAGGCGATGGGGTTTGTGTCGGCGCACTACCCGGAACGGAGTGCACAGATCTTCATTGTGAACGTGCCCCGGTGGTTCGACGTCGTGTGGCGCGTGGTGAGTCCCATGATTGAACCCGTCACGAAGGAGAAGATCCGCATCTGCAAAGGCAGGGCGGTCAAGGAGGAGCTGCTCAAGTCCATCGCGGAAGACCAACTGCCGGTCGATTATGGCGGCACAGGGGTCAAGTTGGGGCTGTCGGCGGAGGAAGTAGCGCTGGCCAAGCACGTGGACGATATCATGGAGAAATCAGGCAAAGTAGACGATTAGAGCCGAATACAAAGTACTCGTAATACCATCGACTCCAGTACCTCCACGGATCCCAAGAACCTCCATTCTAGTACAAAGTAAAACTTATCAATCGTTTCCACTTTGTTGAACTTAAGGGCGTAGATTTCTGGCCAATCACATAGCTTGGTGGGACTAATTCCGCCAATCAAAGGGCGTAGATTCCTGGCCAATCACAGAGCTTGGTGGGACTAATTCCGCCAATCAAAGGGCGTAGATTTCTGGCCAATAACAGAGTTTGGTGGGACTAATTCCGCCAATCAAAGGGCGTAGATATCTGGCCAATCAAACGTTTATATGTAACCAAGAGGAAGCCAGGACCATCGTCATATTGAGCACACTGGCAGGTTTATGCTGTGTAGGACCCGTCGACGTCGAGGTGTGGCTTTGTCTGACAAAGTCATGGATGGTGTCCGTGTTTCAAGTGATGACATGGGGGTGACGTGGTCACGTTCCATGAGTTGGATATGTGTGACTGGGTGGCTTGTGCGCGGATGCTGCGGGGATTTGGGTGGTGGAGTGGGAATGTGGTGCACGGCAAGCGACCTCCAGTTGGATTCGTCGTCGTTATTCACGACAAGGTGGCGACTGCGGAAAGCGAACCCGACGCTGCGGTTGCGTTTGCCCACCTTGACGGGCTTATCCCGTCTCACTTGGT